CTATTCAATCTATAACAGTAGAAAAAGATTATTTTTTTTTTAAATCCAAACTATTGTGACACCAGATCTAATTAGTGGCACTTGTCAGCGTATCCACTGTTAGCGTAACACACCCGCTTTAAGGACACTGACTGCTATTCAATCTATAACAGTAAAAAAAGTTTTTTGTTTTTAAATCCAAGCTATTGTGACACAGGATCTAATTAATTGGCACTTGTCAAGCGTAATCACTGTTAGCGTAACACACCGCTTTAAGGACACTGACTGCTATTCAATCTATAACAGTGAAAAAAGATTATTATTTTTTTTAAATCCAAACTATTGTGGCACAGGATCTAATTAGTGGCACTTGTCAGCGTATCCACTGTTAGCGTAACACACCCGCTTTAAGGACACTGACTGCTATTCAATCTATAACAGTGAAAAAAAGATTATTATTTTTTTTAAATCAAAACTATTGTGACACCAGATCTAATTAGTGGCACTTGTCAGCGTATCCACTGTTAGCGTAACACACCCGCTTTAAGGACACTGACTGCTATTCAATCTATAACAGTAAAAAAAGTTTTTTGTTTTTAAATCCAAGCTATTGTGACACAGATCTAATTAGTGGCACTTGTCAGCGTATCCACTGTTAGCGTAACACACCCGCTTTAAGGACACTGACTGCTATTCAATCTATAACAGTAAAAAAAGTTTTTTGTTTTTAAATCCAAACCATTGTGACACCAGATCTAATTAGTGGCACTTGTCAGCGTATCCACTGTTAGCGTAACACACCCGCTTTAAGGACACTGACTGCTATTCAATTTATAACAGTAAAAAAGTTTTTTGTTTTTAAATCCAAGCTATTGTGACACAGGATCTAATTAGTGGCACTTGTCAGCGTATCCACTGTTAGCGTAACACACCCGCTTTAAGGACACCGACTGCTATTCAATCTATAACAGTGAAAAAAGTTTTTTTTTTTTAAATCCAAGCTATTGTGACACAGGATCTAATTAGTGGCACTTGTCAGCGTATCCACTGTTAGCGTAACACACCCGCTTTAAGGACACTGACTGCTATTCAATCTATAACAGTAAAAAAGTTTTTTGTTTTTAAATCCAAGCTATTGTGACACCAGATGTAATTGGTGGCACTGACTGGGGAAATGGGCACAGTATGCACTGTGAGCCTGACACAGAAGCTGGCAGCAGTGGCAGACAACTGACTGCTATTCAATCTATAACAGTGAAAAAGTTTTTTGTTTTTAAATCCAAGCTATTGTGACACCAGATGTAATTGGTGGCACTGACTGGGGAAATGGGCACAGTATGCACTGTGAGCCTGACACAGAAGCTGGCAGCAGTGGCAGACAACTGACTGCTATTCAATCTATAACAGTGAAAAAAGTTTTTTGTTTTTAAATCCAAGCTATTGTGACACCAGATGTAATTGGTGGCACTGACTGGGGAAATGGGCACTGTGAGCCTGACACAGAAGCTGGCAGCAGTGGCAGACAACTAAGTGCATTTACATTAGATAGAAAAAAAAAATCCAAAAAAAGCATACCCTTATCCCTAACCTAGCTATGCTTTTCCCTATCTTATGAACAGCAGCTACACTTTCCCTCCTCTTACTAAGCATGCAGCTTGAGAATGAATCTAAAATGGATGCTGTCCAGTAGGTGGGAGGGTCTGCTAGGGAGGCTGTGCTTCTAATTGGCTGGAATGTGTCTGCTGACTGTGAGGTACAGGGTCAAAGTTTACTCAATGATGACGAATAGGGGGCGGGTCGAACCGCGCATATGTTCGCACGCCGTGGCGAACGCGAACATGCTATGTTCGCCAGGAACCGTTCGCCGGCGAACCGTTCGGTACATCACTAATCAAGAAGTACAAAATAAATGGATTTTGACCTGGGAATTATGGGGTCATGTCATTTGTGATGGAAGAGATACACTGAATAAATAGCTCACATTTGGGAATGCAACCAATTACTTCCCTCGAATAATTCAAACCTCCCGTGCTGCAGATGACAGCAAATATTTTGGCCTAAAATTGAGAAATGATTGAATGGAAATAAAAAAAAAATAGGGATTTTAGTGTTTGTGTGTGTGTCTGAACAGAATGTCAAAAAAACTACATCCTGGTGAAAACAAAACACTATCTGAAATCACAACACAAACTTCACATTTGGGATTTTTATAATCGGAGAGCACCAGGCACTTGATTACCGGGGAACTGATTACCGGGGACCTGATTACCGGGACTTGATTACCGGGGACCTGATTACTGGGACCTGATTACCGGGGACCTGATTACCGGGGAACTGATTACTGGGACCTGATTACCGGGGAACTGATTACCGGGGACCTGATTACCGGGACTTGATTACCGGGGACCTCATTACTGGGACCTGATTACCGGGGACCTGATTACCGGGGACCTGATTACCGGGGAACTGATTACCGGGGAACTGATTACCGGGGTTAATAGCTTTGAATTTCTTCCACGTTCATTCGACAGACAGACAAACACACACACACTATATTTAGATATATAGAGAGAGACAAACAGCCAAATAAATGGATAGATAGGTGTGTGGACAGATGGACTGATGAGCGGACAAGCAGAGAGACAGACAGACAGACAGAATCAGTTCTTTGACCTGTGTGCACGGTAGGATACCCATGAAATCTTGATGTTTATTGGTTGGTTGTGCTGCACATAGACATTACACAATACACAAACACATTGATCACATTGTCTTCAACAAACCAGATTTGCAATTTGTTGTGCAAACAAACGCTGAATATCAATATTTATGACATATGTAAATCTTCAGGATGGAGAATCCATAGATTTATTGTATTCCCATATTCTATTTACTGATATTACTTTTTGCTGCTGGACACACTTTCATTATGGAAAAGATGAAGATTAAATCGGTTACATTCTTCATGTGAAATAATGTATCAGGGATAGAAAGGATTGAAAGATCAATTTGTTTAAGTACGATTCCTCTCACGTTAATAGTAGTTTCCAAATCCAATTCAACTGAAAGACTTTATATTGTGATTTAGTCTGCCTATCAGTTAATCAAGACACCGAGCAGGTGGACTGCTTAGACGATTCAAAACTGATTGCGTAAACCCGCTTCTATACATAACAGTAAACCTTGTTTTATTGTGAAATGAAGCAATGCTGGGGTTCTGGACAGGGTTTCATAATAACCCACAATTTTATAAATATATAGAGTTTATGTTACACACACGAACCCTCCATAGTGACAGCACTGTCAGTGATTGACAAGAATGATTTAACTAGCATCACCTAA